CAATTTTGCGTAAAAATTCCCGTTTTTCCTTAATTTTTATGTTGTTTTTCCCGGCGCTTGTGAAAACTACTGGGAAATTTATACTTTTGACCCCCCAAAGTACCAACTAAATTCACTTTCCTATCAGAAAAGCTACTGATGAAGAAAATCCAAGCACTTTTACTTCCCTAAAACGTGATGACAGACACAAAAAAAAAATAAATATAAAAATATAAAAACATACATCATTGTAAAACCAATACATTCATCGCTCCGCTCAGAATCTAAAATTGTAGTTGTCTTGTAACTATAATGATTTATTATTTCTATCTCTACTTGTTTGCATTATATAAATTGACATCTATTGTTCCTAACTTAAAAATTGTATTATATAACTTTAACAAGTCTGGATGACTAAGTCAGAGGAAGATTTTAAAATAATAATAAAAAAATAGTAATACTTTTTACAAAACAATATTGATGTACATTGTACACACAATCGTGTTCATTATATTTACTGGCATTTATTTTTAAACTTATAAAGTACCTATAGATAAAATATTATAACTAAAAGACACAGATAAAAATATAAACAGAATTTACGTGCATATAATATGAATATGTAATAACTATTATGAATAATATTAAAACTTAAAGTTGCTGTTCGACCATAAATATACACATTGATAGCGTGATAATAAATATTATATTTTCGACCTTTGCATTATAAACGGTCACACGATTCGTTTAGGCAATGGTGTTTTGGAGGGTATACGCGGGTATACGACGTATACCCTATCACCAGTTTACTGATTTAGCGTATACCCTGTAAAATTACTAGAGATACGCAAGTATACCCACGTATACCTTCAAAAAACTTAAGTAAAATAAAATAGTAATTGCTTCCAAAAAAATATTTTTATCTTTATTATTGAAAATTATCAAATTTTTTTTAATTATAATCGACTAATAACCATAATATCAATATCAAATTCATATATTTACAATTATAATCACGGATATGGATACAATTATTTAAAACTATCAACGTTATGGATACAGTCCACAGATATTTTTATAATATTATCTGTATATAGTTATGGTTGACTTGAGGGACTGCCGATTATAAGAATGATATTGTATTTATTGGATCGACAGCGGCTTCAAAAACAAAACAGTTATTCACAGATGCCTTATCACAATCAGTTAGATTTGGTAGAAAACAGCGACATTGATAAGAATTTGCAGATAGACAGATGAGTGATGACTATAGAAGTCAGTCAGTCAATTATTTTATATTTATGAAATTATGTAATATATTACTATTCAGAATATATTCTTAGTAAAAAAGATTTTATTTAATTACCAATTGTCTTATAATAACAAAAAACATCAAATTCACTGCTTAGAGTATGTTCAAAATCGTTTCATACGTTTTTTAGCATACAAATGTAATGTTATACGAAAGTCACATTCTCCTTACCAGCCATTATTAAATTTGTTTGAATTTGATACTTTATCGGATAGAAGAAAAAAAATAGATTTGAAAATTTTATTTAAACTAGTAAATGGTTACACTGATTGTCCAGAACTATTAAGTTTCCTCAATTTTAACGTTCCTCAACGTAGAACTAGGTCTAATAATACTTTTTATATAGGTTCTCAAAGTACAAATTATTTATTATCTTCACCTATAAACAGAATTATGTCATTAGCGAACGATACCAACATTGATTTATTTAATTTTACTTCCTTGGAATCTTTTAATAATTATGTTAATAGATCTTTATGTTTTTAATGGATTTTGTATTATAATTATAATTATTATTCTTGTATTATTGTGGTTATTATTATTATTATTATTGTTACTACTATTTGTATAATTAATATTAATTTCAATATTGTACTATTATATATATATATATTGAACCTGGATCTTACGATCCGTTAGAATTTTAAATAAATAAATAATAATCGTTAGAAAAATGTATTAGATCAATTTTTTTTTACTGCTTACATGGCAAACAGAACGAAATTATGTAACAAAAAGTAAGTTCTAACTCAGTGCTTGGAATGAACTCGTTCAAAGGAATCCCTTCCTTTGATTTCGTTCCATTTTTAGGAACTTATCGGGAACGTAGTTCCTTTTTCATGTTTAGGAACGTACTGAAATTTCGTTCACTTTTTAGAGGAACATGAACTATTTTTTTTTCGTTCCTTTCTTTGTTCATTTATTTTTAAATAAAAGTAATTAAATCATTTTTAAAACTAAAAGTAAAAAAATGTTTAGCTTCCATTAAAATTTAGTAACTAATATGAAGAGCTATAAAAATAAACCTGTATACGATATTATTGATAATGTTTACAAAATATAAATTCTGTATTTCTGTAGCAGAGGTTTATTTATACAGCTTATTAATTATATAATTTAAAACTATTACTAAATTCCTAAATAACAATGTGTTATGTTTACAATTTTAAAATTAAAACAATTATAGTATAAACATGTGCGATGTACCTATGTTTTTTTATTTTAAGTCACATTAAAAAGGGACGAGGAAAGGAACTAATTCCTAACTTCAAGGCAGGAATGGTAAAGGATTTAGTTCCTTTTTTAAAAGAACTTTTTAAGCACTGTAACTCCATCTCATCCTGATGCAAAATGTCTAAAATCCTTTTTCTGGGGGGGGGGGGCTAGGTAAATAAATCGACATATAAAGGCGCGGTGGTATACCGCACGACCCACCATAAGTTAATTTTTTGTTTGTTTAGAAAAATTTTTTTTTGAGCTTATGTGCTAAGCGTATACCCTAGAAAAAAATTACCAATACATCACTGCATCTATTACAGTATTACATCTTATCAAAACTCGTTGCGTAACCATTCTATTTATAAAAAAAAATGTGCCTCCGCCGCGCCGGTGTGAGAGATCGCAAGTCTCTTGCAACTCTCCGTTGTTTCGTGGTCTCATTTCTCCCACTACATAGACCGTCGACGACCGGTTTTATTAACATTGTTTAATCTATTATCTATTATTTTTATTTTTATGTTGGTGACAATGATTAGGTACTGAAATACTGAATAATGACAACGTAGACAAGCTCTATGGTTGATGATATATAATAATATACTAATCTTTGTATATAATTAACGCCTAACGGCCGTCGCTGTACATGGTAGTTCAGTAGTTGTAGTTTCAAGTTTGTACTTTTGTAGTAACTTGACGAGTTGACGATTTATATTTTATTCTTTTTGCGATGAGCAAGTAGTGAACAGTAATAATTAATATTATATTATATAGCAATTTATTATGGAAAATAAAAATAAGAGAACAGGCGGTGCTGCTCGTGAAAGAGATAAAAAGAAAAAACTGTTATTGGCCGCAGCAGCTACATGCCATAATATAGGCACAAATGCACAATGTTTTCAAAAACTCAGCTTAAAACTACAGTAAGTTTATGAATATTTTGACTCGAAAATAAAATAACATCATGTTGAACTTTTAAATGTCTAAGACCATTGATTATAAATAATAGTATTTATAAACAATACTCAGACCTAATACCAATGTGTCAAATATTAACATTATATTTTTATGCTATTTTTATTTTTTAGGATGATGTTAGAAATGAACTAGACATTGTAAATGGTGATAATAAGTTGAAATTAGATATATCTGAAAACACTATTAACACTATTGTAAGTTAAAATTGTGAATTTATTATAACAAAAAATTAGGTACTGTTTATTTTAGAATATTTTTCATTGGTATTTAGATCCCAAAGTCTCTTACATCTGATGCATCTATTCAAGACAATATTGAAGGAGAACAACAGATGGACACAAATGTAGAGGTTAAAAATGCCAACATTAACCTGATTAATCTAGAGGTATGTACCTGTATCAATTTATTTCCCAATATTAAACTCATTTAGGATTTAGATTAGCAATCACAAACTTTACAAACTGTGGCAATATAGTTCATAAATCATAACTATTATGATACTACCCAAAAACCATTTACATATTATTATTCATTTTTATATTATATTTGTTATAGTATAATAATATTTATTATATAATCTTATAATTTTGTATCAGTTATATAAATAATATACCCGACAATCAACATTTTTTATTTAATTTTCAAATATTTTGTATTGTAATAATTAATTAATGAGTCATATTTTTATAAATTTAATAATGGATACTAATTATTTTATAGAATGTACCTATTATATTTAAGTAATATTATATTTTTATTTTTTAAATATGTTAACACCAATAAGGTAGAAAATTAATGTTTTAACAATTATAATAAAAACATTTTTATTTCTTATGAATACATATTTTTTCCCCTAAAATATTTCTAATTCATTTTCAATAGTTTTAACACATAACATATTTCCTAAACGACCTAAACCAATATTGTACTTTAAAATTAATTTACAATACAATTTCATAGAATCTATTTATAAACCTTAATATTTTATTGTTTTTAGATTTATGATATTTCTAATTCAAAAGATCAAAGTCCAATTCAACCAATTTTAAAATCATTTCCTATGAACTCTGAAAGAAGGTCTTTTAATGCAAAGTATTATGAAGTACATAACTGGTTGGAATATTCAATTTCAAGAGATGCAGTTTTTTGCTTTTCCTGCAGGCATTTTCTTAATAATAATAATGTTCGTGGTCAAATTGAAAATAATATTGTATTTGTGCAACAAGGCTTTAATTGTTGGAAGACACAGAAACAGTAATTTATAAAACATGAATTAAGTGAAAGACATTTATCAAACATTGAAAATTGGACGATGTACTTAAGTGTAAAAAATAAAAATAATTCAGTGGCCAATGCATTGTTTCATTCTAGATCTCAAGCAATTACTGAAAATCGTGAACACGTTAAATTTTTATTAAAAACAACATTATTTTTAGGAAAGCAAGGACTTGCTTTTAGAGGTTAAAATGAAGAACAAAATTCATCAAATAAAGGAAATTTAAAAGAATTAATTGAAATGTTCTGTGATGAAAGTATGAAATTTAGATTATTATCCAAAACAACTTATGGTCATTATACTTCTCCTGTTATACAAAATCAGTTGATACATGTAATTGCTTCTTGTACCAAAGAAATCATTTTAAAAAATATTTCAACATTTGGTGCATTTGCTGTATTAGTTGATGAAACCAAAGACTCTAGCAAGAAAAAACAGTTAAGTTTTATAATAAGATTTACAGATAACAATTTGAATATTCATGAAAAAACACTGGGTTGTTATCACATGACTAAGTGTGATGCAAAATCATTAAGTGATGCTATTATTCAGATGGTTGGAGAAAATAAACTAGATATAAATAACTGTGTAGCACAATGTTATGACGGTGCATCTGTCATGAGCGGTCCGTTTTCTGGGGTTCAAAAACGAATAACTGAATTAGTACCACATGCTGTTAATATTCATTGCTACGCTCACCGCCTCAACCTATGTTTAATTAATTCAATAGAAGACAATATCAAATTGATTACAGATTTTTTTGATACTGTTCAAGGATTGTACAAATATTTGATGAATGGTCATACAAGGTATGAACTATTTATAAGTATTCAAAAAAAAAAAATCTTAAAGTCTTACATTTGGAGAGATTGGTTGAAACCAGATGGTCATACTGGTTTACTTCTTTAGAAAAAGTTAAACTAAGGTATACAGAAATAAGAGAAGTACTTACTATATTAACAACAGAAGGAGACCAAACTGCAAGAGCCATTGGTTTGTTAGAAGAAATTTCAACTTTTAAGTTCATAATTATATTATGTGTTATGAAAAAAATACTAAAACGTATTCACTGTACATCATGTGAGCTCCAGTCAAAGTCACTATTATTACCATCGGTAATGAACCTAGTTAATTCAACTAAAGAAAGTCTTCAGAATCTTCGCAATGATGAAACTTATAAAAATATTTATGAACAATCAAAACAAATTGCACTTCGAAACAAGGTACGTGTTGAAGAATATGAGGAAAGAAATAATCGCTTAAAAAGAAATATATCATTCAACAAAAATTTTATAGATTATTTTGTAACTTCAACACTTGGAAAGTCTAATTCAAAAGGTATGAGGGCAGTTCCAACACTTAAAGCTGAAGTTTTATATTCCATTATTGACAGGTATTTATGCATTGTCATATTAGGTATTATTATTCATTGAAATTTCCAAGTTGATAATACTTTAAATTATATATATTTCTTTTATTTATTTAATAATTAGGTAGTTCATACATTTTTTAAATATTTATATATTTTGTAATAACTAGTCTATAAGCTTTGAATGTATGGCTTTAATTTTATGCTTGTTAACAATTTCAGATTTGTACAACAATTAGAAACTCGCTTTTCTGAGAAAAACCAAGAATTATTTAAGATATTTCAGATTTTCGACTATACAAGCTTATATTATTTCAATCCAAAGTGTCCATCTTTAGAGTTCTTCATAGATCATTATAAATATTTTGAAATTAATAAAATAAAAGTCAAATCAGAATTTTCATCTGCTAAAGCTTTGCTTGAACATAAACATATTTTAAGACCGGACCTAGAAATGATTGTAGATGTTCTCATTGAACTTCCTAGTTCATTTTCAGAAACTTTAAAACTAATGCATATCATTAAAACTCTTCCAATATCTACAGCATCTAATGAACGCTTTTTTTCTTCTATGAAAAATGTAAAATCTTATATATGTACTTCTATGGGTGACGAGCGACTCAGTGATCTCATGATAATAAACGTTGAAAAGGACGAGGCCAATAAAATAGATTTAAATAAAGCTGTGGATGATTTTGGGAAAATGAAGAATAGGAGATATCCACTTTTTTAATAACTTTTAGTACTTTTACTGTTATACCTATTTACTTAGTTAAAGTACATAATTAGTTTTTGTATTTCTTTTTATTTTATTGTTTAATACAAATATTATTAAATATATCTTTTTTTATACATATGAAATTGGTTAAATATGTTTGAAAAAAAAGTATTAGTGAGTATTTGAATATTAAAATGTGGGGATATGAGTGAGCGAAGCGATCGGAAATTTTTTTTAAGTTCCGCTAAATAAACAGGATATATAAATGGCTTGGTGGAGGGAACGATTGGCCTGATTCAAATGTTTGCATCCCTATTGAAAAGTTGAAATGACGCCCCTGAGTCTTAATCCACACATTTATTTTACCTCATCAGCTATTGTCTATGCATATATTTATTTTCAGTTTATATACCATTGAAATTTTACTTACCTACTGACAGTAAGTATCTCCGTAAAAAAACTGTGTGTATAAGTATACAAATCTAAAATCCCTCGACTAAAATTAAGTAGTAAAAATCAAAATGTATATAAAAAATGAAAACGTGGTTCAATTTTTGTTACGGTTTATTAAATTATTTGAGGAATTCGAATTTGAGTATTTCAAAACACATCTCATCGTAGGGGTTGTATGTGTGTGTTCACAGGGGGGGGAGTGGGGGTCAGATCTCTCTTAGTATCATATTCTCGTATAGTTTAATTTCTAAAATCTAAAATTAATCCAAATTCTAAAAACAACAACCGATTGGCACTCTTATTAATTATCATTGATCACGGACTTCAATTAACTTGCGACAGTTGTGTATGATTCAACTATTCTGCGTATTGTGTTAATATTTTAGTTAAGTAGTTAGGTACCTTATTCTACCTAAATTCAAATTTTTTTTTCTTGACTCGTGTTTACATTACTTACTCTTTTATTTTGGGCAAAATATGACTTAAAAAAAAATTAATGGGTGGTGTGGCTAAAAATATAAAATAACCGCAAACTGCTCAAGAATAGAAAATAATTTCTGGTGGGTAGGTATATTTAATAAACAGACAAAACTTGAGCCGATAAGCAAGCAATAAAAAAAAATTATATTAGAATTTAAGATAATATTAATTTGTAAATGTATCGTATATATATAAGAGTAATAGAGTATTGGCTATAAGTGATGAATCAGGTAAAATTGATTTATAGATAATGCGGTTTTTAAAAATAAAAAAAAAGAAGATATCCTAATAAACTACTAATATTTTTGTTTAACAATATAAATATTGCCAATAGTTTGTAGACATTTAACTGATATAGGTACACAATTATTTTTCTAAAATATCTGTTACCTTATATTTAAAAATTATGTTACCTAGTTAATAAAAAAATTTAAAAGGATAATATGTGGTTGCGAGCGAAGCGAGTGGCTTTTTTTTACCCTTTAGGGCCGGTCAAAACCTTTCCTCCTCTATTGAAAACTGAAATGACGCCACTGATATAACCTCCAAAATAGGAAAATAAATATATTATAATATACTATAGTTACATTTATTATATATTATATGCACACAATATATATAAAGGTAAAATCATTGTTAGTTATTACTTATTACTGTACCTATCACAAAATGGGGAATATTCGAAGATTGTGACAATGAGCAACAATGTTTTGCGGGGCTCAATAAAACTTCCAATAATGAAATACAATCCATGTCCTATAAATTTACTTGCTTAAATAGTATATTTTCCTTACGAAATACAACCCCGATAGGTAGTCTATAATGGTTATATATATGTTATTTATCTACTTTAAATATTATAATAAAGATTAATTAAATATAATTAATTATTATTCTATTATAAAACCGGAGCAAAAAGAGCGATATATTGTACACTATCGTAATTTAAAGCCAGCCATTTCTAATGGTTTGATAGTCGAAGAAGTAAAATATAGGTAATACATGTTTTCAGCTAAATTAATTTTGTGAAATGTTTAATGTTTATATATTAATCAGGCCTAAATAAATATTATAAATAAATAATATGATACCTATAACTATGCTTTTATTAATCAACAGTTTTTGCAGTCAGTCAATTCGATATATTATCATAACAAAACTGCTACGACAACAATACGCAATAACTATGTCTCCATCTTACACTTTTAAATACAAAAACGAAGTTTTTCCAATAACTACTTATGTTTTCAAAAAAGGTAAAATTTGTACATATTTTATTGTTACCTAATAAATGATTTTGATTTAATTTGATAATCTATGTAAACCTTGTTGTTAGGGTTTGGTGTTTACAAACATTGTTACAAAATTCATCAATTTTATTGTTTAATATTTTATTTTATTTAAATTTAACAAAATATTGATTTTTTTAGGTAGTTATCGTGAATATTTGATTCTCGAAGAAAATATTAACACCATTTGTTCTTCAGTTGCAATGGCGGAGTCGCGTATAAGTCCATTTACAAAAATACTGCACGGAAAACGATATTTTTCCGAACCAAAAATATATATACAGGCGTACAAGGCGATCGATAAAGCTAAAGGTTTGGAATTCGCCAAGTGGGTGTTTGATGTTTTGATGCCTGACTTACGACTGAAGAATCAAAATTTAGACCGGCCGAGTATACCATCGACATATGTCATCAATGATGTACAGCAACAACGAGTCTTAAATCTCGACGATCAAGCGAGTTCTTCTAGTTCTAGAGCAACGAATACGGTCACCGTCGAAGAATCTATTGTCGTGGCTGAATCGAATATCCCAGCTGTAATATAATACATTTTTAAATAATATGCCAACACGGTTAAAATAATTTTATTCGTGTTTTATGATTTTTCACACAGTTGGATGAGCCAACGATTTCGGACGCTCCCGAGACCGGTCCGGTTAACGTTAATTATTACCCATCCGAATATTACGACGAGAACGGATTTGAAAGACATTTCATCGACGATGATGCTGGCGAAGATCGTTTTAAAATTGGTCTCATTAACAAAATCACAGCACTGTCCAAGCGCTGTCACAATGCAAAAGAGACGATTTCGGAAAACATATTACGCGATTTTGGCAAGTTGCAAATTATTTGTCAGATATGCACGGAATTGAGAAATGCTAGCGACATGTGTTATAATTTAGGTTGTAGTCATGCGCAGTGTATTATTTGTACGTTAAAAATGTCCACTGCAGCACCCTGTTCGTTTTGTAAACTATCCACTCATTGTTACATAATGTTGGAAAATTTAAAAAACGACCGCGGTACATGTTCTTTAGATTTATTTACGTTCAAAATAATTGTTAAAGACTCAGCATTTTATAATGAATTGAAAAAACACGTGTATACCAACGAAGATTTGTTGAGATCTCTTTCACTGGTACTACCGACCGAGTTCTCCTTTTAGTTTACCCAATAATATAATATTATAATTATTTTTTAATCGTTAGAACCACAACGATTGGGAAAAGATTATTATAAAACAGTCTGTAAATGACTGAGATGACTCTACTCATGATTTATTGTATGACCTTACAGGAAAAAAGTAAAAAACCCCTAATTTATTAATACCTACATTTAGGTTTAAACAATGATTAAATGTTGAAAAATGTTTGTACATTAAAATAAAATTATTGATAACTCAGAATCCGATTTGCATCTATTTATTTATTTATTTTTTGACATTCATTAAATATCGTACATTACTACTCATAATCTAATATAATTATATTTATAATTGTTTAATTAATAAAAACAAAAATATATTAAACAGTAGCTAATATACGTTAATCAAAGAATACAATCACCGCCAGAGAATAATGAGAAAAATTTGAAAAAGAAACAAAAATCAATTAAAAAATTAAATAAATCAAAGTTCTTACAAAAAAATAACCAATTCTTGACAAATATTTTAAGGATAACTATAACCGATAAGAATTTTTATATTAACACTAATAAATAACAAAAAAATAACCATAGCTAAAACAAAATTATTATCATATAGCTTATATTATACTAACCCATTTAAAGAATTCTAAATAAAAAAATTCAACATACATCATTCTAATTTTTAATTTTTTACCTATATTGTGCTTACATTATATCAAACATCAACACCACCAAATTCTCGTCTCCATTGTCATCGAATCAACAATGAAAACCAGGTAAGAAATTACATTAATATTTCTTCACATAACTTCAAAAACAGAATTACAAATAAAAAAAAGTTGATAAGACAATTAGACTCAGGTGTACCAAAAATTAGCATAAACTACGTTTATAAATCTATACTCACGATCCCAACCAATCGTAATAATATATGCTTTAATTAATGGTAACTATAGTCTATAGCAGGGGTGTCCAACCCGCGGCCCGCCATAGATTTTGATGCGGCTCTCACTTCAATTTTAAAACCATGAATTAATTATACATAATATATTAATATTACGAGAACAAATTTATTTTAAAAATATAAACCAACCATCAAATAACGCTTATGGATTTAGCCTTTTTAGTTGACATAACTACTCATTTAAATGAGTTAAACGTACGTCTTCAAGGTAAAAATCAACTCATTAGTAATATGTTTCAAATATTAACTGCCTTTGAACTGAAACTTAAATTATGGCAAAGTCAAGTTAAGGTGAATAATTTTATGTATTTCCCTGTGTTGGCCGAATACAATTCCAGGAATAACGAGGAATATGCTTCTTTGATTTTAGTTTTAATTAATGAATTTGAAACCCGTTTTCAAGATTTTCGTAAGAATAGTCAACTCTTAGCTATTTTCGCAACACCATTTTCGGTTGATATTACTGCTGTGGAAACTAAATTTCAAGTGGAATGCATTGAGTTGCAATCATCTGATATTCAACTCAAAGAAAAATTCAATCAGTCATCTTTATTAGATTTTTATAAATTATATCTACCCAAAGAAACATATCCAGTCCTTGTGACCATGTCTTATTCATGTTCTCGCTTTTCGGCAGTACTTACATTTGCGAACAATTGTTTTCAAGAATAAAAAACATAAAGAGTAAGAATCGGTTCACTATATCAGACAAGCACCTTGAAAAAAGTTTAAGGATTTCCACAACTTCAATCGATCCAGATATTGATTCATTACTTTCACAAAAAAGGAAATTTCAAATTTCACATTAAAAAAACTAATGACTTTTAACTTTTTTAAACTAAAACTTTTTTAATTATAAATAAATATATTTTTCTGTGTACTTATAATTGAATTATTAAATATTAATAATTGTAAAAATATTTCTACTTATTATTCGCTATTGTAAAATTATAAAAAAATGTATTGTTGTATTATAGATTATAATTTAATCATTAAATTTGAATGTATTATTATTAAAAAAAAGTATGTGGCCCACAACAACTTCTACCTATATAATGTGGCCCAGTCTTCACAAAAGGTTGGACACCCCTGGTCTATAGGATAAAGAATGTCGAAATTCCTAATCCATACATAATTCAAACAAATGAACTTCTCTTTTCCCTCTCTGCACCTCCCCTTCATATACAAAAAACTTATATCAATAATGTTCTTATCACTATAGAATATGGATTCCATTGAATTACATTTAATCAGTACCCTATTAGAAGTAGAAGACGATGACGAAGGACACACATTGCAATCCGAAGTAGATAATGACATGTTAATCAACAAAAAACAAGACCTTAATTTAAGTAAAAAATTATTTAAATAATAACTTAAAAGAGAAGTCCATCCTCAAAAAAGAAAACTTGTTAGAAAATAACGTAGGGGTAGAATTATACTAACAAGGATTACTTACATGATTGGAAAAAAAAATAACACAAATAATGTATATAACAACAATATAGAAACATTGCATGAAGAATTTCTAATGGAAAAGTCATTTTATTTTATGGATATTATTAATTATTAAGTATACACATTGGTATTTATATTTGTTCATATAATAGTATTCACATAGGTACCTATGATTTATTTGATATTAATTTTACCTTACATGAATTAAAATAATTGAACCTATTGCTGATGTAATATGTATTTGTTAAAATAAGTCTATAGGTAATACTTTATTTCTCATTGTTTTGTACACAGTTAATATATTATATTGTTAACGTTAAAAATTGTAGTTGTCTTGTAACTATAATGATTTATTATCTCTATCTCTACTTGTTTGCATTACATAAATTGACATCTATTGTTCCTAACTTAAAAATTGTATTATATAACTTTAACAAGTCTGGATGACTAAGTCAGAGGAAGATTTTAAAATAATAATAAAAAAATAGTAATACTTTTTACAAAACAATATTGATGTACATTGTACACACAATCGTGTTCATTATACTTACTGGCATTTATTTTTAAACTTATAAAGTACCTATAGATAAAATATAACTAAAAGACACAGATAAAAATATAAACAGAATTTACGTGCATATAATATGAATATGTAATAACTATTATGAATAATATTAAAACTTAAAGTTGCTGTTCGACCATAAATATACACATTGATAGCATGATAATAAATATTATATTTTCAACCTTTGCATTATAAACGGTCACGCGATTCGTTTAGGGATAAGTCTTAATCTACACATTTATTTTACCTCATCAGCTATTGTCTATGCATATATTTATTTTCAGTTTATATACCATTGAAATTTTACTTACCTACTGACAGTAAGTATCTCCGTAAAAAAACTGTGTGTATAAGTATACAAATCTAAAATCCCTCGACTAAAATTAAGTAGTAAAAATCAAAATGTATATAAAAAATGAAAACGTGGTTCAATTTTTGTTACGGTTTATTAAATTATTTGAGGAATTCGAATTTGAGTTTTTCAAAACACATCTCATCGTATTGTTTGTATGTGTGTGTTCACAGGGGGGGGAGTGGGGGGTCAGATCTCTCTTAGTATCATAATCTCGTATAGTTTAATTTCTAAAATCTAAAATGAATCCAAATTCTAAAAACAACAACCGATGGCACTCTTATTAATTATCATTGATCACGGACTTCAATTAACTTGCGACAGTTGTGTATGATTCAACTATTCTGCGTATTGTGTTAATATTTTAGTTAAATACCTTATTCTACCTAAATTCAAATTTTTTTTTCTTGACTCGTGTTTACATTACTCTTTTATTTTGGGCAAAATATGACTTAAAAAAAAATGAATGGGTATTGCTGCTAAAAATATAAAATTACCGCAAACTGCTCAAGAATAGAAAATAATTTCTGCTAGGTAGGTATATTTTATAAACAGACAAAACTTGAGCCGATAAGCAAGCAATAAAAAAAATTATATTAGAATTTAAGATAATATTAATTTGTAAATATATCGTATATATATAAGAGTAATAGAGTATATATAGTGATGAATCAGGTAAAATTGATTTATAGATAATGTGGTTTTTTTTTAAAAAGATAAAAAAAAAGAAAATATCCTAATAAACTACTAATATATTTGTTTAACAATATAAATATTGCCAATAGTTTGTAGACATTTAACTGATATAGGTACGCAATTATTTTCCTAAAATATCTGTTACCTTATATTTAAAAATTATGTTACCTAGTTAATAAAAAAATTTAAAAGGATAATATGTGGTTGCGAGCGAAGCGAGTGGCTTTTTTTTACCCTTTAGGGCCGGTCAAAACCTTTCCTCCTCTATTGAAAACTGAAATGACGCCACTGATATAACCTCCAAAATAGGAAAATAAATATATTATAATATAATATAGTTACATTTATTATATATTATACGCACACAATATATATAAAGGTAAAATCATTATTAGTTATTACTTATTACTGTACCTATCACAAAATGGGGAATATTGGAAGATTGTGACAATGAGCAACAGTGTTTTGCGGGGCTCAATAAAACTTCCAATAATGAAATACAATCCATGTCCTATAAATTTACTTGCTTAAATAGTATATTTTTCTTACGAAATATAACCCCGATAGGTAGTCTAAAGGTTTAACGTGTAGGAATGTAGGTAGGACATTTTTTAGGTAGTAAATGTGAATGATAGTCAAGGGTTCGAACTTCGTCGGAGAAGAATAAAACTTGATAAATTTTTTCTAAAGAATTACAATATTTTTAAAACTGCTTGTTGTTAATTCAACACTCCGATCGACTGCTATCGATATCACATAAAAGTTATTTTGAACACAATAAAATATTTTTAAATTATTGTTATACTACATGTTATTTTGACAATAAGTGGAATTAGAATAATCTATAATTGGTTGTGTAATGGTAAAACAGTTATAGATGTTAAATTAACTCCAAAATAATTAAAAATTACTACCTTTAAAAGAACTTATTTTGACTTATACGTCTGATGTGGTATCAACACCAAGCTTCTAGTGAGTGAAAACCTACACGCCATCTTAGTTATTTTAACACCAATTCGTGCTAAATGAAATAATTTTTTCTATCTGTCTGCACGAAAAAAAGTACACATTATTATTATAATTACGGGCCATGGGGACGGGAATGGGTGTTGGACACGGCGCTGTTATGATGGCCTGAAAATGTTACGATAAATTCCGTTCCGGAGACGTCGGTCGAGATCTTGGGTAGAAATCGGCATTCATGGAAACGTGGTGGTCGCTTGAACCTGCTCCACAACATCCACTGCCATAGGAATGGCCTTAGACTTGCCGACGAGTTTCAGCTGTATTTCTGCCAACGTCTTGTTTTTCGTTTCCGGCACGACGGACGCGGCGAATGCAGCACCCATCAAACAAAATGCGCTGAATGTCAGGAAGCAGCCCGCCTGGTCCAGCCACCGGGTCAGCTCGGTAGACACGTAAGTGACCACGAACACTAGCGTCCAGTTGGTGCAGGTGGTCAGACTCGTCCCGATCGGTTTCACCTGAAATCCACGACAATAACCGTTTCTCAGAAGTGCATATAATATTATGATTATCACCTCAGCCAAAAGAACACAACGTATCCTCAACCTTATCCACCGATCTCATGTCAGTCACCACAAATAAGCCAATTTATTGGATTCATAAACATGATTATGTATATACGATTAAATTAACCGATTGTTTTAGAATTATAAATCATAATGAGGTACCTAAATAAATAATGGTGAATAGTGTAGGCACACAAATAAAATTACCGTTTATATTGATTATGGTAGAAACGTAAGGTTTATGAAATCGTATTCAAAATGTACAACACAAAAATATATTTTTGTGGAAAACAATAAGGGTTTTTGAAGGAAAAAATGTTTCACTATTTCGTTTTACTTTATCATATTAACATGTTATTATTACACGCAAGTCCGAAGTTGTTTGTATTACAGAAATATTTTATAGTTATTTAAACATTAACATGTAATGCATACAAACATAAATATACAACTTCTCAGTTAACTCGGTTCGTTCGTTTTTTGTGTAGACTACTAGACTCGTGATAAAAGATTAATTTATATAATTAAAAGTGGTTGTTTTTTTTTATCGTTTTTACATTATTAGAACAATATGAAGTTCAATAATTATTTTATTTAACCCTATTCGTGATAAAAATGTAAAAAATATTAAATTATTATGTACCTATATACGTTTTAATAATTATATGACTTAATATTATCACGCGAGTCAACATAGTATACTAATAATAGTTAATAAAAACGAACTGTGTGAGTCGACATTTTGAAGTCTGGGTGCTGGTGAGACGGATCTATTGAAGCTTACCAATAATATTACTCTAGTATCATTATATATTTTTGTAACCATGGTAAACTGTATACTAATAATAATATTAGGTCACTCAAATATCTCTAAGGGTCCTAGATAATAATATTGTCGAATTCAAGTCTTAAAATAATGAACTCTTCGACTCAGCATGGTATTATCAATGTAAATTATAATAAGCCTTAAAACAAAAATATCTAGTCAAAAACATTTGAATACGAAAAATTAGATGAAATTTGTTATGGATTTGGACTAATATTATTGTCACGAGTACCATCTTTCCGACGACATACCTTTACTCTGCGATCGTGTCCACTTGTTGAAATATAATTAAACGTCGTCACGGAGCTTTACAATACAAAACTATTATAATTATGTATGGTAAATTGGTATGCGCGTGTGCCCATCGTCGTAAGTCTGACGCATAAATTCGTTTATGTGTTTTGTCGGGGGGTGAGTGAGTTTTATTCCATTGTATTGCGCCGAGACCGAATTGGCGTTGCTGCAAAACGTTTATTGGTACGCCACAGCCGGTCCCACGACAAAATATATTGTAATGGCGCACACCGATATATATATAGGTATGACTAGCGGCAGTTTACTCTTTTACTTTGTTATTTTATCTCCGGTCCAATTACCTACATATGCGTATACGTAGTACGCGTATATATATATATATATATATATATCAGTAAGTATGCGGTTAACTTTGTAATTATTATTATTATTGTATAAAAGTGTACCTATATATAAAATATAATGTACACTATATAAGAACAGCCGCAATTTTTTCATTTCGAACCCGTCGGCGAAGCTCGACGCTCGTGTAATAGTCGTCGTAAAGTTTTTACGCTTTTCGATGTCGAATAAAGTCTATTACCTATATTATAATATACTCGTATAAATGTATAATATGTTGGGGTCAAGAATATAATTCACATTATATTTATGAGCTAAAAATATGGACTTTAATAGGCTAATTTAATTCGTTTTAATGAAATTTTCATTTGTTAAAATGTTTTATTTTTCTTTATAAATATCACTTAGCTTAAAACGTAAGTATTGTAGGTACTTATATCCCAAACTTATATATCCAACAACAGTATCATTATGCTGAAGGGGAGTTTCAAACATATTATAACTATTGTTATTTATACCTAATTATATTATTTGTTTAGTTAAATCAATTTTATATTATTAATAGTCTATGCGTGGTTATTATTAATATTATTATTTTTTTATTGTTCTTAATTAACATCAGCTACAATGGCCATTAGTTACAATTTACAATTACAATTTTTTTTTAATTTTATTATACAGTTTAGTTTTGAGTAAGAATTCAAGTATTTGTGTGGTGGTGTCTGCATTTGGTCCGAGTGCTGCGTCTGTACTATTGTCTGTTAGTATATTTCAATAATAGATGTTCGTCACAATACTCTAAGGACTACCTAATTTTATTATATTGTTAGTCACCGGAACAAATTTAACCGGAAACCTAAAATCTAATAAATTGATCTGGTCATAGGTTTATAGAATATAATATTTAAATATGAAGAATAAATATCTCATGAAATTATTGAACTGTTCCAAGTTCTAACTGCAGATAAGAGATAAACGATGACAGCTGGTAGGTAAAAATAAATTTCAATATTGATCTCACAATGGGCTCCAACTAAATACAATTTCGTATCATAAATCACCCTTGTTCCTTAGAATTGAAGATTGAATCATTTTTTTACTATAAAACTTGTACCTACGCATACACAAAAAAACACAAGTCATTGAAAGTCAATACATCCATCCATTGTTTTACTAAGATTCTAAAAGACTTAACCTGGAAGTATAAAATAAGCACTGCAGGTCTGCAGTGTATAATACTAATCGAAACACAAATCCTTGTTCAAATATTATAGTTTAATACATTATAACTACGGGTATTTATCATTGATAATGGTCTTGGAAAAATAAACGGGCCGAAAATCTTAATGATTGTTGATTAGAAAAAACGACTTTGCAACGACCATACTCGCGTCGTTGAGTACCCGTTGTCTGGGAAATGGTTGAATTTTTCGAGTAAACTGATTTTGAATTGAACTTCGAGTTCACTTGCAATTAAACGTCTGACCTGATACAACCAAAAAGAAAAATGGCCACTAGTGACGACTTTGCTCGAGAAATCGCCATAATGTTAGTCGAACGCGTTGAAACATGGGCAATGCCTGTAGAAGACGAAGAACTAACGCTTGAAATTAAAGACTTGGAACAAAAAAAAGATGACGATGAGGAAGAAGACAATATACTAGGCGATATAATTTGGTTGTTTATTGAAAATGATACTGTCCAATGCAATGTTGAGGTAGGCAGCGGAGACGCAGCAGCTGTAGTCCCGACGCACTCCGAGAAGCTCGGACCAGTCGAGCAGGGACAAGGACTAGAGCAGGCTGAAGACCTGCAAGAGCCGGTACAAAATCAAGAGGCAGACATTATTCCATCTGCGGGGGAAACGGACAAGACTATATGCTAGACGGAGAGAACGGACCAGACACGACCAACATCAGAGCAGTATTACAGAGGAAAAATCCACGTGGTAGGAATATAAGGCGGTTGTGCGCCGCCACGTGGACAGGCCACAGGCGTGACGCGCGTATTGCTCTGAGGTTGTTTCCGGAGGAAGTGAAGCCAGCGGCATAGCAAACCCCCTCACCCCAGATGAAGACACCAGGACAAGACGGCGGCGACGGGGGAGTGGTACGAGAAAGAGCACTGTACGGTGCCCGGCGGTAAGTCACCCTATACGTTTTCCGGCCACCCGCAGAAAGACGAGATAGCAGTCGCCAGTGTCGCGAGCTCGCGGTTGCCGACACGCGAGACCATCAAGACGACTCGGCGAGGGCCCACTGCTTCGGTCACACCAGGAGCCGATGGACGACGACGACGGCGGCGGTGGCCAACTGTACCGGCGCGGGCAACGATACCGCCCCGACGGTACCACTCGACGATGGCAGTGTGCACGAAGGCGACTCGCAAAGGCGACGGCGGCGGAGACTGCAAAACACAACGGGCGAGCGGATACAGCTGCAGAGCTAGGAACACGGAAGTCAGCATCGCCGGACTCGCGGAAACGGATAACGTTTCAGGGTCCGGCGATGTGCGACTCCAGGACGGCCACCGGACGGTGACTAGGTCGAGAGTCAGGGCGAAAATCGCTTGGAGAGGATCAGGACCTTTGCGGCGTGCTTTGCTGTGAGGTCCGACGATCCTCTCGCTGCGTCTTCGCCCAGTGGCAATCGGTCGGGTCACGTCTCCGGTCGCCGGCCGATTCCGTAGCGCCGACGCAGCTGCCTCTGCTCGCTCAGTGTTTTAGGTTTCCGTCGCCGTCGCCACGCGTCGGTCGTCTTCAGAACCTGCGCATCGTCGATGCGCACAACATCGCGCACTAGCCGCTCGCCGTCAAATCGTCTCATCGCTCCCGTGGCCGTCGCGGTCGGGACTTCGCCAGCCGTCTTGATGGTCATCACCCGCGAGCAAACGTGCTGGTGACTGCACTCGTCCGCCTGCGCGATGTGCCGCGAAAACGTATAGAGGTGACCAGTAGCCAGCATATTGCTTATTATGCACCTCGCCATCACGTACCGCTCCCCCTGCTTATTGTGTCTTGTCTGGTGTTCCCCCCCATTGGGCCACTTTGTGTCAATTATACTTAAAAAAATCATATAAAATTACAAAAAAAATAAGAAGATATATCAAGTAAAAAAACAAAAAAAAAACTATTCCACTTTGGACCTATTAAATATTGAAAATCATAAAAAAAATACAAAAAAATATAAGATATATCAAGTAAAAAAGCCAAAAAAAATAATAAGATATAAAAAAAATAAAAAAAAAATACTTTTGATTGATGTACTTAAACTACAATAAATATTATTGTAAAACTTCATTTATTTTGTTGAGTACACAATAAAATTATTGTCTATACAAAAATAAAACATTGTTTCTTTTTTTACTTATTAGAGTGTATTTGTATATTTATATTTATTTCAACAGAATAATGGGCTCCACTGAACATGCCCCTGCAGTGAGGGCCCATGCAAAGTAATAACTATACCTACTAGCAATATTTTTGTCACGCATCAAATATATCAATAAAGTATTGTAATAATATTTTTTGTTGGGTATTTTTGGTCAGGTAAATATTTTAATATAATAATTAATAGATAACTTGGCACTTTTACGTATATTTTACATTCGACTGTACTCAATGGCATTTTAAAAATTGTAATACTTTTTACTCTTGACCCCACAAAGTAGGTAACAAATAGAACGTACCAAGTATCAGAAAAGATGCTGATGTAAAACATCAAATCATTTTTAAAGCCCCAAAATGTAGCCTCAAAATTAATATTAAAAAAAGGGTTAGTTGGTGTCACTCTGATGTACAGTTGGTTACAAGTGGCCCAAATGGGTCAATGTAATGGATGGTCTTAAATTTGAATTCAATGATATAAATCATTGCATACGAAAAACGATCCTGAGCGAAGACTGACCATCAGCCTATAATATTACTAAGTAGGTATATTTTCTGATATTATTGTGAATTATTTTAGTATTAGACAGTTTAATACTATGCTATCAAATGATATATAGGCCACTGCATATTAGGTAGCATATTAAAAATCGTTTCAATTCTTGTATTTATATATATATATATATAATATATTTATACGCGATCGTGTCCCTTGTCGTAACACACAGGAAAAAATAAAATAAACAATTTTGTAGTGCAACGACAAACATCCCCTAATCCAACGCGTGTCCGCTGTCCGCAAAATTTAATATAATAATAATATTATTATTATTGTTATCATGCTGCGCTCAAAGATGCGTATACGAAGAATATTATACTACTTTGAGAAGTTCCTGCAGCGCGCGTTACTAACCTCCGACGAATATATTTCGCCCATCAGTATCCAAGGCACGGGACCGTAACCGATGGAAAACGCCGATATGTACACAGCGATGCACACTAAGGGTAACCAATTGAGTTTCGAAGCCAGTTCTAGATAATGGGTTTTTATTAAAAAAAATCCGCCCAAGCCCATGTAGCAGTTTGCCATCAGCAACCCCGACAGCACGAGTAACGCCTTTCGGCCACTTTTGTCAATGATCGTAAAAGACACGACCGTCATGAGAAGCTATATAAAACAAAAAAAACCAAAAATTAAATAATAATAATAATCGGTCCTGAAATCATTATTGCGAGTTAGGTATACATATTACATATAGTAAAATAGTGTTATCATTTCTAATGTCTTGATTTTCCTAAGTTTTGTTACAATTATTTTTGAAAATCCGAAAATATTGTAGATTTTACTTATATATAGAACGGTAATTGTATACACTTTATTACATAAAGTGCTACAATATAAATATTATACTTCCTCGTACGAAGCTATCCTCCGTGAGCTGGTGAATGTAACGTTAGGTCTAATAAGTAATAACATTATTACTTATTTAATATTTTAGACATTAAGACGTCTTCTTCAGTGTTATATACTCAATACTCGTGGGTGACTAAACTTATTAGCTTACTTTATTATTTATGTACGGTATTGACGTAGGAATCTAACCTAACCTAACCTAGGTACGTTTGATTATTTTACAGATATTGAAAATGAAACGTTTCTACAGCCTCGCCGGGGCTCATTCAAGTTTTTAATTTTATGGTTTTTTTAAAAAATATTTTTCACCCAATAATTAGCATACAATTATCGTGAATTTACAAAAAGTAGTTTTTTTGACATTTTAGGGGGATGGCTAGGGAAATGGCAATAACAGGGAACGCGCCTAGATCTTTGCACCCACCTCACACTAATAATTGAATGCTAAATATTCAACCAAAACAATTTTTCAAATTCGTTTGTGGTGGGGAAATGTACGTTATTAGTTATTACGTGCGGATGGAAAAATTATCAGTGCAAATCTACGTGAGTCTTACAGAAACGAGTAGATTGATCTAGTAATATAATTTTATGATTCATGACCGATATATTATAATGGCCATAGATATACCTATTATAGGTACTTGATGAGATTTGAATATTTCTATTATTTTTATATATTCGTTTGGTTTACTAGAAAATTATTTTTATTGATCACGAAGAAGTCGTAATACTGCAGTATTCATTTTATTCTTCCGTTTTCAAGTTCCTATTGTTCAGCAAAGTTATACACGTGACTCAATCGTTGTCATCTCATTATTACCTGTACTACACCGACGATTATGGTGCACGTGTTCGGACTCATGTGGCTGCCGGTCGATTTAAATATATCTGTCATGTAAAATATCACCACGTTTATACCACTCATTTGCTGAAAAAACATGCACCCAATACTGATCATCAGGGCCTTGCGATTCACCTTGTCCGAGAGCACTTCCGACACCGTATAACTTTGGGATTGTTGCTTTTCGACGAACAACTGGAAAAAAATTGATTCGGGTAACTATCAATATTTAAAAATTCAGTACCTATATAACAAATTTTTTTTACACCCCGGATTTATTTCGATTGGCCTCCGAGATCATAAAATGACACACAAACTCCATGTATATAATATAATATGTACAAGTACAATATGCATATACTATATAGTATATACACCTTTTAATACCATAATATATATATTATACTAGCTGTATAACCCGACTTTGCCTGAGAAAAAATTACCAAACATAATATGGCGTTGTAGGTTGTATCTCAGTTTTAGTGTACCTGCCTGTAATACCCTTGGAAAATCATTTAATTTTTTTTATAGATTTTAATAGGGGTTGGTCCATAAAACTATTTGCTTGGAACCTGATAAGTATTGGGCAGATTATTACATTTAAAATAACCACGTTCGAATCCGTTCGGTATAGTTTCTGAGATTATCCCAGAAATAAAAGACACTTTATTTTATATAATATAAAGATTATAACTATTAATTATTATACAAGCATATTTGTAGACATCAGTCTTACCTTGATGGATGCCAATTCTTCGGTGGTGTCCGATGAGTCTCGAAGTATCTGCAGCGAAACAGCCGCCCCGTTGGGATCGTTGATGTTCATCAGATGGTACGGCGATTCAGGTATGCAAAGGACACCGATAAAATGTAAAATCACCCAAAAGGCGCAGGCGACGCAAAATGGCACGTACTTTAAGAATGCACCCGACGTATACGAATACAGTATGCCGATGACTATGAATAATTGGAATATTGTTCCCAGACGACCTACCGATACATATTTTTAAATGATGCAATTAATTATGGTAGGTACCTGTACAAAATAATATTTTAAACTCCAATGGACGCCTACCAGTCGATTACCAATAATTACCGAATTGGCTCCCGGGCTATCGAAAGATTGAGAACGTTATACCTTTTTGGCCGAACGATTGAGAACACTTAAAAATAACAAAGAACTTACCACTGACCCAAAAAAAAACCCAAAAAAGAATACGATTGGGAATTTGAGAACGAATTTACGTGCAACGTCGCCATATCATTTATTTGGCTATTGAAAGATTCATGTAAAAATTAATATTCTTGAAAAAAATCATCAATTAAGAATTTTTAAAACAGTTAAAATATTCATACTAAGGATAATAATCCTTAAATATGCTTTTACAAAATATAAACTATATTATGTAATATTAGATGTAAGTAGTATTCGTTATACTTCAATCATTTCTAAAATTATTTATATTGATAAATATATTATATGTATAGTAATTACTAACATTTTTAGATCATCTAAGACCCCAAATCTACTTAACCTATTGGCCAGTGGCGTAGCCAGGATTTTTTTCGGGAGGGGGTGCTGATCAACTTTTACACATATTAAATACGTACTAGCACAGATAGATAGCTGAAAAGTGTTAATAATTATAGTACATTTTTAAATATTTTAAATACAATTTAAGAATTTTTGAGCGACTATCATAGACCATTAAAATAATTTGCAGTATAATAGGACATAGACATATTATTCTTAGTACCTTGACTCTAACTATCGTAGCTATTTTCAATATTTTATTAACAATTAACATAATATATTGCTAATTTAATATCAACAAATTACCGTGCTCGATTTAGCAACGTGGAAAAAAAAATAAAATATCGAGCATTCTCAATCGTGTTACCAAAAATACCGTTCTCAATCGTATTTTACCGGGTTCCCGGGTAGTATATATAGGTATGTAGGTACCTACATAAGATTTGTTTCCCGGGGGTTCTACAGGTAACATACGAATTGGTTTCGTTGAACTTGAATAATACAATTATGTTAAAATTAACAATTTTCTACTATAGTTAAAAAATTATCATATATTCAACCGACAACAGTCTCCTTTCCATTTTATACAGACTTGAGAGTGTTTTTATTGTCCAGAGTATATCCTATGTATGATTATCACGAGTTCGGATTTTGTAGCTCTATAAAACTATAAAAAATATTTTTAATAAAGCCACAAAAATTGTGTATCAAACATTTATAAATTTAGATGAGTATTTGTTTGGTTTTACGTATTATTATTCAATAATTGTATTATAATATGAGTGTATAAAAATACCTATAACAGGTTACAGTTAGTTAATTATTTTAAATTGTAATCAACTTAATACAAATTTAATAAAAATAAATCAATGTAAGCAATATTAAAAAAAATGTTGGTTACGACCAGGTTACACCTATAATAATTGTGGTTGTTATATTAATTTAGAAAATAATATTAAATTTTCCTTTAAATTCTGGTTTCCACCCAATGATTTACAATAGTATAGCCAGTATATATAAGCAATATAAGCTATATACCTACGTATTTTTCAACACTAATAATAAAACACTCTGACCACCTGCAATATCAAATAAGTTGAAGTTAACTATAATAATTATAATAAAAAAATTAATGTGGCTTACATTTTACAACATTCAGTTTTACGAATTGTAAACTCTCAAAATTTGGCAGTCATTCAGTTTTTCATTTATTTTGTTCATTAACTAACCACAGACTATATGAAAATATTTCCATATTATAGTCTATGTGAATTAACTTTTCCTTTTCAGATGTTTTATTTTTAATTTAAGTGCTTTTTTATTTTGAATAGGTATATTTCACATTGAATCTCTTTTTCAAATAATTAAAATAATTTTGGGTGGGCAGAACTAAATTCTGAATTAAGTATTTTGTCAAACGATTTGCAACAGTATGTAGTTCGTTATTGAATAGATTCTGGAGTAGATAAAAATGTATTCTACTAAAACTGTTGGTCGAAAATCACAGACATAATATTATATCGTAATATGTGGATACCAATTTTTTGTATGTATGGGAACATTGGGAATTTGGGAAACAATTTTATTCGAGCAGTCAACAGATGATAAGTAATTTTGACCCAGGAATCAATTCCGTATTTCCCATTTTCCAATTATGTCCAGCTATGTGATTGCACGTGTTTTATCCATTATAGGTATAGTCAACTTAAACACGAAGTCGAATCGAAAATCGGATTTTTGAAAAAAAAAACAGGGGTTTGATTCAACGCACCTCTCATCCGGGGCTCGGCTATCTCGCCGATATACGATGGTATGATGGCACACAGAGCTCCTACCCCGATGCCCTGCATCATTCGGCCGGCGGACAGCATCCAAACGGAAGTGGGCAACACCAGCATGGCCCAGCCGATCAACAGGAACCCTTCAAACAGCATCATGCTGGCCGGCCGGCCGAATATCCTGGACACGTATCCTGCCGGAAGAGCTCCCAGGGCCGCGCCGATGCCGAACACAGAGCTGAATGTCTGCGTGTCCTTTCCGGTGACAGCAAACGGCAACAGTGACTCGTCGGCGTCCAACATGCTCTGGGCCGGTGACGACCATCCGAGTATGGTACCTGTTGCTATCGCTCCCAGTGCCGCTGAAATTGTGTCTTGTGATTAATCCCGAGGAAGACAATGACGTAGATAGGTAGTATCTTTTTTTTCTTTTTTTTTCACTAGTGCAGGTATCGCAACTGAGGTTGGAACCACGGTAGTATTCACTTAGTAGTAGTAGTACTCCACTTCCGCCTCAGTTGTATCAGATAGGTATAGTATATCTACCAACGTATACAGCTTCCGAAAAACGATTATTTCGATTGACTTATACAAATTGTTATACAACACCCCTATTTCTACGCCTAACGTCAACCTTTATGTGAGAGACAGAGATCGCATTGTATTGTGTATAATTGGTGTATGAATCATTTTAAAAATTGCACAATATTGAATATATAGACAACGACTCAATTGCGGTATGTTTTGAAAACCGTAAATCGGTGGTGCATTTATCGGATTTGCTAGTGTTTTCGATGTTTCATGAAAAATATTTATTTTCTAACCCAACATAGTATTATACAATGTCAATACAACTGCAGTTATCATATTTTTTAATAAGTACACGCAACATGGTGAATTATCACAATACATATTAATTATAATTAAAGCGTCTACCTACGTCATACGCATAACTGTAGATTTAAAATAATATTTAGTTTCATACAGCAGTTTAAATAAATATAATATTAATTTATCTCCGGACACTGGATACACAAAGATAAACGTATTTAATAAAATCGAGGTATGAAATTGTATCTGAAAACCACGTAATTGCGGCCATGAGTCATAACACATTATATAATATTATAATAACGCCAGCTGGTTATATAACTGTTTTTAATTCACAAAAGTGATTAAATATTTTTCCACATCGTGAAATTCTCATTCAGTTTTTCTTTTTCAGTGTTCCCTTGGGTCTATATTTTGAACTGTTGTCATAAATCATAATGTTTTCGTACGAAAAACGCAAACGAAATAATGTATTTTATCTTTGCTATAGGTACTTTAGCCATTTTCCCGTCGGACTTAACGTTAATACGACATTACGACGTTTACCCGGCAACTGTTGTTTGTTATCAAATGTAGACGATACTACCCTGCAGTTTGCTATGTAATTAACGGTGCAAGTTGTTGCCGAGCAGACAACGGTAAAGCCAATTTTCGTAGATGGAAAACTATTTAATCGAAATTTGCCAGTAATAACGCGATTTATATAATATACGCTCCGGCATAATAACATTGCCTATACGAAACTGTTAGAGAACCATAAAAGTGGTTGTGCGAAAAACTTTCAAATTATTATTACGGTTCCCAAATCTCCTATATATCATACCTACACAGAAATTATCGACACAAGTACACAACTAATGCTGAGAGTACCCTCGTTAATTCTCAAAATATATATTACTTATATTTGTTTTTTACATAATAAACGTCTAACGGTTTTTTTTTAAATTTATATATTTTTAACAATAATTAAAACATAATGAAGAACTGTCTACATATTAATGAGAACTGAGAAGCATTCCAAATTCGCATCGTCTTAGTCTTAGATAGGGTAGTAAATACAATATAAGTACAACTGTAATAAATAATAATATTATGATTATTATTATAATTGGACGTTTGGCCAACTAATATGTTATTATATTTAAATATTGTTTATACGGAATTACAAGATTATTCGTACAGATCATAATATTATAAGAGCTGGCGAGAAGAATTATAAGATAATACGGTTTCGACTTGGCCAACGCACGAATTAAAATTGAATCATAATTTATTTAAATTAATCAATTATATTATGTTATTGTATAATATACGTTATAATGTGATTTGGTTGTGCTGAAATTCCGAGAAATTCGTTGGACACCTCAGATATAGAACACTGTCAAACTATAACAGCGCTAACGAATAGACATTCTTCTTTAAAAAAAAAGTGTGAAAACCGACAGGGTCATTGAAACGATTACATATTATTAAACAAATCATGCCTATTATAGTTCGTAATCGGGAATTAATCCGTTCAACAAAACCATTTTTACCGAACAAAACAACACAATGCACGTCATACTTAATTATAATAATATGGATAATCATATATTATTATTAATTGCTCGCACCACACATTGGATTATCTGCAATTCTCTTTCAGTTAGTTTTAGTTTTTCGAAAACCATATAGCGGTAAATAGGTATTTCAGTGCTTGGGCGACTCCGACTTGAATATTAATAAGCAATGATAATATATAATATGTCTCTAATCATACGACTAATGACCGGCGTGACAAATCCCAAAAAGCGTTGTTCAAATACAAAATAATATAATATATTATAAAATTGCAAGGCTAACCGAGAACGAGCGAAATACATAATATTATTATAATAAGTTTATCGTGTAACTCGTTTCATATTATAATATGGTCATTCACTCATTCGCTAGTGAAGTACTGAAGTCTGATAGCCAATAATATCATATAGAGATTACGGTCGATATCGATTACATACAATTATATGATAGCTATACATATTATGGCTGATGTACTCAAACCATCGGTTGACGAACTGTGTAACGCCAAGTCCAAAGGGAGAGTATAATATAAAACGAGTTAATAATAATAGCCGTCATATGGCGTGATACTTGTTACCACAGCCTATAAAATAGTACCTACAGCGTATATACAATAGTTATAGTACTATTATAAAAGCTGCTGATAATGTAAAATAATAAAAATTCAAATTAATATCGCTCGTTTAAGTGTGGCTATTTTATATTGCTGTATGAATATAATAATAATAATTAAATTATAAAAAACCGTTTTATTTCTATTTACGTCCTTGCCTGGTGTCTAAATAAAGTTCGTAAAACTGGTAGTTCATTATTTAGGTATCGATAATTATACTAATGAACCCTTCTAGTATATATAACTAAAAATGAAAAATCATTGCAATAAGAAAAAATCAAATAAATATAGAAGCACTTTAATAATAGTGAGTACTTTATCACTTTAAGTCCCTTTATCAACTTTTTTTTTTTTAATTAAAACATAAAATAAGCAGGATCTTCTATTCTTCTAGTAGGTACTGAAATATTTTGAGTAGGCAGCAAATTTAAATTAAGGAATTTTTGCATTCTACGCATTCTATTTTGTTTTAATTCTGCCTTTTTATTGGCATAAATAAAGAATATTAATACATTTATTAGTCAACTAATATTAGTTTGATAAATTCATCATAACTCTAAAGACGCACTATGCAACCCTTACTTCACACCTTTCTAATTGCAATACATGATTTTTTTTTTTAATGCCATTCTGAGATTAAAATTATCAGACAAATGTTAATTTCTTTATTAAGTTTTTAATTAAAAATAAAACACTAGTCACCAATCATACTGAGCTATGCAAGGTAGAGTATAATAATATGTCCATATCGGTAAGAATAGAAAGAGAACGTTTAAGAAAATCAAACGAATATCATAATGCTCGTTTATAGTCATTACCGTAACATAGACATTGCGTAATACTAGTGTAATACCTACTCGAATAGCATTAAATCGGTTGATGTATCAACACTATATAATATAGATTTGTAAGTTGATGCATTACGAATGGATTGCCATTAAAACTAACAGATTAATTTCAATGATACGAGTTTCAAAATCTTGTAAAAATATAATTGTTAATTACACTATATAGGTAATAATATTTAGTTGATCGTAATCTCGTACACTTTTCATTAAAAAAAAAATGGTTTGCGCCTTATGTAATGTAGGTGAAAACATAATATGAAATCAGCCAACAGAATACCTCTAGACGAAGCTAAGAGATGGACTGATTCTCCTTTACAATTTATGTGAAATACTAGCACCCTGCCCAGAGATGACGTCGATTCTTTATCAATTCCTCAAAGAGACGAACTGCTCCAGAAAATATAATACATAATATTATACAATTAGTTTCTATATCACATGTAACTAAAATAAATGTATCACATTCATGCATCATATTTAAAATAATTTGTACACAACTTTAATATAATGTACATTTATATGTACCTTTATATACTGGGTGATTCTTTTATCAAACAACACTCATTATTTCAAAAAGTGTAAATTTTTTTGAAGATATTTTTTTACATAGTTTCAAGTCGCTTATAAAACAACGTTTTTATTAAAAATTATATTTTTAAATATTTTTTATCCTTATAATTTTTTAAGTTTTTTACTTTTTTGAATGACAACATAGGGTTTTAATTTTATATTCTAAAGTAGAATATTTTTCTTAGAATTTTGATACATGGAAATTGAATTTGGTGCGAGTAGTTTATGAGTTATAAGTATTTAAAGTTTAGACGAGCGGTGAAGTGGAGAAACATTTCGCGGGGTAACCCCGAAACACTCCACTCCGCTGAAATATCTTCAAAAAAATTTACACTTTTTGAAATAATGAGTGTTGTTTGATAAAAGAATCACCCAGTATACATGTATCTTTAGAAACGGCAATAACCGCAGCAGTTGAGGCGTATAAATAAAAATAATAATATAAAATGATATGAATTGTTACTTTAAATACGAAACAAAAGTAATATAATACTCACCAATCACCGTTATGATGACTTGAGAATTGATAGCACCACCCGATAAGTTGTATATCAGCGTGAACTAAAAAAAAAAAATAAATAACAAAGTTAATTTAACTCATCCGACTTGATTAGTGAAATTACAATATAATCGAACAAAAACCGGAAATGGCCGTTCAAAAATTAAAAAAACTACTTTTATATACCGATCGACTTACGATTTTCGATTTCTCGTGACGATCCGGCAAGGCCATTTCAACGATCGATATAGTCACTCTTCTAATGAAAACGGATGATATTATATTTTACATTAAGCTGCACATGCAAGTAGGCACATATTATATACAATTAAACAATCAGTACCTATAGGTACTGAACGCGCATATACCTATAGCAATGTATGGTTAAATTGTTAAATACAATGATATTTTGTCCGGGCCTACAAATTTTACAAAATAATAATAATAATATAATATCTTAACGCGGTCGCCATATCATATTATTTTGTCTGTCTATACCACGTATTATAATTGCACGGTATCACTACCTATTGCTTAAGTTTGAATATGTCGTCTTAGATACCTATATAAACCGCGTTTATCAAGAGACGGACGGACGTTGAAGACATATTATTATGAAGTTGGTGTGCGTTTTGTATCCCCACTGTTTCGTTACAGATATTTTAAGAACACAAGTTGCCTCAAACTTTACGCCTGCACACACGTTTATAATGATACAACACGCATCAATGGAAAACCGAGCATTTATCCACAATGAATAAGTGTTAATTTACAATGGGTCACTAAAACGTTTTTTTTTTTTTGTAAGTTTTTGTCATTTTTTGTCATTAGTAATAATGCGCTTGGCCTAAATGAGCGAATCCAAACTCTGTCCTTACGATATAAAAATATAAAATATCGTGAGTTTCTGTCATCTGTCAAAACCTAGTTCTATAATATAATAAAATATTATACAGACGTATTTTTCTCCGTCTGATGCAGTTCGTATGTCCCTATATTTAAGTCATTATTACCTACATCTACTACCCACGTAATAAAAACTTTTATTTTAACGTGATTAACGGAGCTTATAAGATTTCAAAAACTTGTCGAATAAATATGATTAGGATCCATAAAGCGGAAACCCAGATAATACCACTTTGTCGCTCGTAATAACAATATTTGAAAACAGTAGTTAAACAATTGGTTTTCGGGGATGATTGATATTATCTTTTTAATAAATAAATACATAAATTTTATTTACGCAGACAATATTCTTGTCATATTGACCGACCAATGGGTATGTATTTATAGTATTTGTAATATCATATCATATAAGATATAATCTAATCATATAATTATCATATTATAATGCCATATTGATTATTGATTATTGATAATAGATGGATTAAGATTTTGGATCGGTTCACGTGATGATTGGGAAAATTAATAGTTAGCGAATTACTACCAGGCCCGTATTTGACGTGGCAAATACTATATTGTAGACAATAAAAAAAATATAAAGGCACTATAGTCATAATATTATAGTTAATAACTATTGAAATATTCAAATGTAAGTCCGAATACTACCCTAACTACAAACTACTATTGCTATTGCTAGGTGTTTATGATTATACGATCACTATAATATTATCAGCTATAGGCAATCCTAACATGCGGTAAACCACGGTAATCGTGGTTCGTACTTAAGGACAAGAATCTAAAGTATCAAAAAATTGCGAAAAGTTGGTCCGCCGAAACCGTGGTTCGGACTCAATCCATTCTGTACTAAAATACACAGGTTTATAACATTAATAATAATTATTATTATTATTAAAACCAATAGCAACCTTTTATAGACCAATAATAATAATAATATCAAAATCAATGTTTGAGAACTTCCCAGGGTTTGACCTCTTATTTACCTTTTTCTTGACAAAATGTAGCCTATCTTCTTCCTAAGGTCTAATCTATCTCTGTACCAAATTTCATCGCAATTGTGTGAACGGTTTAGGAATGCATTAAGGACATAGGTAGTCGGGTACAAACATTTTTAACAATTTTCAAACAATTTAAAAAAATGCATTACCTAACTTACTATTTCTTAAATTAATTAAATACCAGCCCTAATTAACAATTTAGATTAATAATTATTAAATTAGTGCTATCTAATAATTGAGATCGTTGTTTTATTGCTCAACTTACTATTGTTATATAATAGACTGCATTCACAAAAATAACAACAGTTATTAGAACTTATAACATATTATAATTAATTTTCAGTAATGATAATATAAAATAAGGATTATTAATAATGACTACTGCTATTGCTTTGCAAACATTGGTTCGCTATGAGAAAAAATACGAGAAAAATGAAGTCTAAACTCTAAAACTAGTCGTTGTGATACAGTGGAGTGTGTCCCTGTTGACCGTTAATTCATCACCGGAATCTACCGATGGCCTAAATTCGTCTCTGATTGGTAGTATAGTATATATCCCTGTGGTCCAAATCCAATATATTTTACAATTTACCGTGCTTACTGCTTAGTTCTTAAAATCTGTAATATACGTCATCTGTAATATCCGTCAACAACACTATTTATTTTTATTATAATTTGTGCGATTCATAGTCAATAGAAATTATAACAATATTTACACCGTCTAATTGAGACGTTTCAATGCGTTTTACCCGTTCATAAATCATAATACACGTACCATGGTAGCATACACGCAAATGTCAGTTTTAATACCTATTTAGTGATGTCTTGTTAAAAAAGATTTTTTTACTTTGCCAAAAATATCAAGGTACTTATACTATAATAGAGTTAAATTAACACCATTACATCAATGGTATTACATCTTAATATATACACAAATATCGAACCTGTTAGCAATAAATTATAAAATATACATTATGTTTAAAAAATATATATCATGATTTATTAATGCCTTTAAAAAGATATTTCACATTTACACCGTTAACAAAATGATTTATTTCGAAATATTAGTAGCTTGTAAGAAAAATATATTTCAGGTACATTTTAGTTTTAAACGTAATACCTACCTATTTGATTACTTTATAAACAATAACGGTTTTGATTAACATATACGAAGCATAGGAAGTCTGTTCTGAAACGACTAAAACCATAATAGGTCGATACGCCTTATACAATTTAATAGATATACTTATTAACATACAATAATATATAATATAATATATAGTGGGTACATAATAATTGTACCAACATAAACGTAGGTAGGTACCTACACAATTATCGATAATAAATATTAATCAATCGTCGTGTTGATACATAGAATGTGTAAAAAGTGTATACCTAACACATATTATATACGTCATGCGTGTGTTACGGTCTTGGATCGTTGGGTTGAAGTTTCACGAGCTTTTCGCAGATTTCCCAATATTTCTTGGCGTTTCCTTCGTCTAAGACATCACTTCTCAAACTTCCTTCCTAAATTGAATAAAAAATAATTTCATTATATTATATTATTTCGATGATTACAAGGGTGTAAATAAATAATCAAAAGAGATTATATAAACACTCCCGTCGCAGTGGTCGGTTCCCTTCAGAAGCGAATAATATTATTAAGATTAAATGAGTGCTAATCGAATTTGACATAATATTATTACACCATTTCGTTTATCCCATCACATCGCCGACAATAATTCATATAATTCATGAGTTATTTTAATATATAATAATCCCGTACTCAACTTTCCTGTATATACACTCTATTGAGGGGGAGGTGGTCGACCTGTGGCACGCGTCGGCGGATAGGCGGTTGGTAAGAAAACAAAATTGCCCACTAATCAAAAAAGATTCTAAAAATTATTCGACATACCTCAAAATTGACTTATATGTGGTATGCTTAGAACACAATTATTTATTCTACACAATAAATAATATAGTTTATTGTTCATATTATCACTAACACGTTTATTGCCGATGACAATACAGAAGTGTTTCTCGATCTAACGACGTGCAACTACGACCTTTCACCTATACCTAACTAGTGAGAAACGACGGTATATCGGAGCTTAAAAATTAAGAAGTTCATAACTAAAATCACGGAAGTTGAATTTACAAGTCTGGTAAGTTGATCCAAGTTAAGTAAATATAAACAAACATTATAGAGATGACATAATCAGCGGCATATACACTATTCGTAATTATTACCAAAAAATGGAAAGTGTAAACGAATGTAAAATAATAATTATATTATATATTATAACAGTTGTGCGTGGGTATACATATAGGGATTCTTTTTAATTTGGAAGTGGGCTGAGATTCTAATTCTGATCCACTCCACATAACTAAGCACCTGTCACGTAATATATTTCATGTCTGAATATGTTTCATGCACCGAAATATACATATATTATGTATTAAAATCATATTTACTTTGCAGTCTTTAAAATATTTGCCGGTGGTCTTAGCAACGTCTTCACTGACGGTCAAGTAAATTGAAGTTTGTGCGCCTTGTTCGGTAGTCTGAAATTAGATCAAATCAAAACATGTAATAAATAGTAATAAACAGTTAGGTAGTTTGAAACTAGTAAATAGACTTAAATAAAACTGATTTAGTTTAATGCTTGTACATATTTTACTACATATTCAGTGGCACAGTGCACGCAATATAGTATAAGGTGCATCTATGAGAACACTAAACAGCATGTATAATAATTCATAATTTATGGTTTCAATATTTAAAAAAAAAAATATTATTATATAATATAGTTTTAAAAATACGGTATTTTATTTATGTATTGTATTATCCCATTTTATACTTTGTTTATCACATATGACGAGTATTAAACTATAATGCTATATGTAGACTATGATTAATTTTTACATTATACAATGTCCATACACATTTTATAGAATATATACAGAGTGACTCACTAAGCATGCTCTCCCCATTTTTCCTTCAATAATGTAGTTTTTCAAAATCTGATTTTGAAATTTTGAAATATATGTACATACTTATTTTCAAATTTTTTAGAATTTTTGGAGTACCATAATTAAATAGTGTCTTGTGGTCAGGGGCGTACTCAAGGGGGGGGTTCGTGGGGTTTGAACCCCTCCCATGACCTTACTAACCGATGCACTTTTGTGCGTTCTTGTTTATACATAATATAATTCACAGGAGCAATTTTCTAAAAAAAAAATTTTAAGAAGGGAAAAAATAAACAAAAATATTTATTTTCAATTTTATATCAACATGCATTATACAAC